ACCCCCTGCCGGTCCCTTACACCATGCTCACTGAAGTGATGCTCACTGAAACTGAAGTCACACTTACAGACGCACACAACTCAGATCCTCACAATGCTACTCCTCAAAATTGAAATTAAAAAGATGGAACCTGCAAAGCCAACCTGTAATCCAAAGATTAGTGAAGACTTTACCCTCTCCCTTTTCTCTCTTGCTTTTATTCTTTTTCCCAAGTTCAGAAATACAGATCTTAGCTACACTTACTCAGTATGTATATATGCAAAATGTAAACATCACTACACAGCACCTAGCACCCTTTTTGATTAACAAAGTCACTAACATATTTGTCATGCAAGCGTAGGGATTTTTCAAGACTACGGACTGTCAGGTTGTAGGAAGTGTGGAAAATATTTTGAGTTTACTTTTGCTAATGACCTGGCTTGGAAAGAATGGAGAGAAAAAAAAATCAACACAGCCAGGGCTGAGGTAGATTTGGCCATATCTGATGTAATGTCATTGTACTGAGCAGGAAGACAAATGGGATCTCAGACTAACAGGCAGGTCACCACAAGATAAGCAAACCAGGTCTAGGGAGAAGATTCCCCCATTTCAGCCAAAGGACGCCCCATCCTGCAGTCGTATCGCTACAGGTGATGGAAAGAGTTGTCACCACAACAATAATGGGCCTAAACTCTGGCCCAGCTGGACCGCACATAGAGATCTGATGGTAGCTCAGCAGCTGAGGGCCAGCCGGTGCTTGATCTCTTGTTAAAACGGTCAGGAAAAGGAGGAATGAGAGGGCTGTGGAGTGATCTTTCCAGTGCAGGTAGCTGCCTGTTGTGCACTGGGCTGAGCACACCAGTTTTTGCATGTTGGCCAGCAATGGGCCAGCAGCTTCCTTCCAGGCTGTGTTACCAGACACAGATATGCCCCAGAATTTGAGTTTCTTGAACAGTTGCTGAGAATCTGTCTCTTCTCCTCTGTCTGGGCTGGCAGATTAAGGGTAGCCTCCCACATGGACAAATGCATGCACACAAGCACCCAGCTGCCTGCTACAAATCCACTCATAAAGCCTGAAGTGCCTGAACCCTGACCTTTGCAATGGTTCACAACTATTACAGTCAATGAGAGATCCCTGCACCATTGTAGACCCACTTGCTCCCAGTGGGTTGCTCTAGCTCTCTGGGTCCAGCCCCTTGCCTTATTAGAAAGTGCTGCCTCATTGATGCCAAGAATCCCTACCTGCCTCCTTCGACTTGTAAGTCAAACAGCCTTCCCATCCCTCCTGCTTTTTCTGAAACTCTCTGTAGCACCGAAACGCTCACGGTTTTGAGCCAGTGCAATAACAGTTGATGATTTCCCTTCCTTCCTTCCCTGGGATGTCTGCTCCCAGGGCCTAATTACTATTCTAATAACATCCATCACTAGCCTCCTCCGCCTCTCGCCCACCGACATCCGGATGAGATACCGCATTGCTGCTGGGGACAAACCCAATCCTGCGCCTCCGGACTCCAGGGGTGCCACAGGGGCCATGCTCTGCATAGTTGCTCTTGTCAGCCTTGATCAGCGAGCGCCTGCTTTGTCCTCTGCCTCCAGCTTGGGGTTTCTGGGGGCTGCCAGGGCTGGGGAGCCTGCAGGGCTTGGCAGAAGCAGCTCAATGCAAATCTGCCTTGGGCTCTGCATTGCTTCCCAAGCTGTGACAGCCTCCGCCTGCAGCAGAGGCTGCTGAGCGAGCAGCCCCTCTGCAAAACCCTTGCCCAAGATTGACCCTGCATTTCTCTGCCACCGTTCACATCCTCCTCCATCGCACAAGGAGGAACAGACACGGATGGGGAAAGACATGCAAGTCCCCAGGGGCAGGGGTGGAAGGACACTGCTGCACCAGGGCTGTGGGATTTCAGGAGAAGGGTTAACTCCTTCGTGGTCTGCTTGCCACTTTTAGGGCTGGGCTGACATTTTCTCCATCTCACAAGCAAGCCTGCATCTTCACCTACCGCAGTGCTGGCGGCACCGGCACGGAGCTACTTCCACAGCATGTAGGATGGGATGTCTGGGAGGAGCATCCCGTGTCTCCGAAAGGATGTTCCAGTTGGCTGTGCCTGGCACGTTGTGCAGCCCTGCAGGAAATCTCCACCTGTCCGTGGCTGGCATCGCCAGCGTCCTGGCAGACGGGAGGTACCTCACACACCAGGAAACCCAGCAGAAGTGCTCCCTGTGCTGATGGAAAAAAGGGTGCAGCTCCAGCACAGCCGCTGTGGCACAGGCAGGGAATTAGCCAGATGAGACACGAGCCATTTTTGCACGGAGAAAATGAGATATGAATGTATATCCTTTCTTGCTAAAAAGGGTTTATGCCCCATAGCCTTTGACTCCAAATTTATTTAAAGAGATGAGTGATTTCTTCACTGCTGTTCAGTACAGATCTGGGCAAATGGGTTACGCTACTTCAGCAGAGCAGAGGGTTACGCTTACAGAGAGAGGAGAACGTTGGGGTCCAAAACAAGGGATGTCCCCCAAAGGGAGCTGGGATCCTGCCACTGCTTTGTTGGTGCTGTATTTTCCAGGATCAGGCCTTCTGTCTGGACCTGGGTGGCAAAAATACTCTAACTGACAACAAGTGACAACTTGTAACAGCAGAACATCATACCCCAGCTCGGGATAACCAGCAGATGCCGCTGGCTTTGAGACCCACTGGGAAATCAAGTTAGTGAGCTACATCTCTTGTGGAGATAGGTTCAGCCCACAAACACAAGTCAGGGAGAAATAATATCGCTTATGAAGGTCAGAGCTTCCACTGGCCCTGCTCTGATTTCCATTTCTTTACTGGACAGCAGGGAAAATGGTTCCTTCCCCATTGCACAAGTCTGTAGAGGCATCAGGGCTGGGATTGCCTTTAACCCTCTCACTCCCAGGGGACAGAGGATGCTTTCCCTTAGCTATT